TCTTTTGCGCGCCAGGGCCCCCCAGCCATTTAAATTTAAATGAAGCCGCGATTATTTAAATCGCGGCTTCATTTCCCGTTGCCGAACAAACAAATCTACATGGCTCCGTCGACGGAGCCATGTAGTTTAGACACACCCCAAGAGACACACAGAGCCAGTCTCTCTTTCAACCCAACAGAACATCTTGAAGGGGACATGGCCTGATCTCCAGGAAAGGGGATTCCAAAGAGGATGGAGAGAGGCTCGTCTCAGTGACGGCAGAACGAGGAGCCATGGTCTCAAGTGACAATAGGGGAGGGCTAGGCTGGATATTAAGAAAAACTATTTCCCTAGCACTGGGCTGGGTTCCCTAGGGAGGGGGTGGAATCTCCATCCCTAGAGGTGTTTAAATCCCGGATGGACAAAGCCCTGGCTGGGATGATTGAGTTGGGTTGGTCCTGTTTTGGGCAGGGGGCTGGACTTGATGCCTCCTGAAGTCTCTGCCCGCCCTGGGATTCTCTGATCCACCAACCTTTCATTTTCGTTGTTGCCCAGAAACGTGCCGAACTGGGAGGCGTAGGCGTGTTCAAAGAGCAGGATGAGGAACTGGTCGTTGAACTCAAAAGAGCAGGGGAACTGGCGCAGGATCTGCCACACGCAGTCCAAGAAGAGAAAAAACACGGGGGACTCCCATTTCTGCTTGCTGTTGGAGTATGCCGACTGAGCGCAGCGCTGCTGAAACGGGTGACCGGCCTAGACACGAGAAACAAAGCGCAACAGGTGCTATAAAAAGGGCGTGTTGCAGGAGGGGAAGCAAAATAATTCTGCAAAGCTATTTCGACCTGTGACACCGCCTCCTGCTCCATCACATTAATACCACACAACCGGTGCAATTAAGTTTCACGCGATTCTGCAAAGCTATTTCGACCTGTGACCGCCTCCCGCTCCATCACATTAATACCAAGTTTCACGCTAACAGCCGGGACGTGCCAGCGACAAAGCAGCTGTGGCGATACCAGAGCTTTGAACGTCACGTCACATTTCATCAGACTTCAGGAATAATCACGGAGGACAATTTAGCAGGGTGTGAAATGACCCATCCTGCTAGAAGCAGGGCCTGGCTGAGAACACGAGCCGTGATGAACGGCGAGGAGCAGAAGAATGTTACATTTAGAAATGCAGTGGTATCCTTGACACGGGAGAGGGTGCTGAAAGCCTCATGCTATTGAGAGCACAAAACTGACAGCTCTCGGAGCCAATGGGGAAGGAGGGCTGGCACGTAACACCCCACTGACAGAAAGCCAAAGGGAAGCAGCTACTTTGGCGCCCTGGATATCAATACATCCAACCGGTGTGTCTGTGCGACAGGGACTGTGGTTTATGAAGTTGATACAATGTTCCGCACAATGGGGTCCAGCGCATCTGAGGTCTTAGGCGCTCTCACAATACACATAGTTGAACAACAACTTGCGAGTGCCGCAATGTCAAGATATCTCCACACCCGCTCTCCCTGGACAGCGTCTCTTACCTGTAACCACTCTCTCTCAACAAGAGCCTCAAAGCCCCGTATGGTCCTGCACCTTGGATCCAAGATGATCTGAGCCAAAGACGTAATCTGGAGTGTAGAATCGGTTCCTTCCGTCCCGTGGACTAACACGGACGCGCCTTCCCTGAGAAAAAATTCAAGAGGGCAGGAATAGACGCACAAATATGCACGAGCCAGGTAAATCTCAGTACACATCAGCCTAACTGCTACGGGCCTAGACCGCATTAGGTGCCTTACAAGCCCTCAACCATCCCTTCTTTCCCACTTAGACTCTATCAACGTGACGGGGAAAAAGGATCAGGGTGCTCTTTCCTGCCCCAGATCACAGTCACCTACGCTCCATGTCATTGAAGGATTTAGTAAGTTCTGGCTCTGCCCTTTGGGAATCCAGAATACTTGTCACCAGTGCTTTTTTTTGTGACGGTGTGGCCCAGAACAGTGTACAGTCACCTATTTTCAGCTCTTAAAGGGGTAGCGATTGCATTTTGGCCCTCAGTGTGGGGTTTGTTTTTTTTTTTTTTTTTTTTGCTCAACAGGTTTTTTTGCTCAACAAGTTTGAGCCTGGAGTACCAGCACCTTTTTTCTTACAAAAAAAAGCACTGTTTGTCACACCCACAAGTTGAAAAGGTCTCCCTAGACCTGTCCACTTAGGATCCAATCTATTAAATTGACAGTATCCAAGGACTGATCCCAACTCCATTAGAAATGAAAATAAAAAACTCAATAATAATGATGTGGATTTCACCTTTCCCCATACTGACTGGGTACATGTCACCTTAGGACAGGATGCAGAGATAAAGATTTTTGACACCTTAAATTACTGTTTTTTGGAGCAGCTGGTTTTGGCTCTCACAAGGGGAGAGGCGATTTTTGATTTAGTCCTCAGGGGAGTGCAGGATCTGGTCCAAGAGGTGAATATGAACCACTTGGAAATAGTGACTACATGAAATGTAACATCTCTGTCCACAGCAGCCCAACACTGTGGCATTTCATTTCAGAAAGGGGAACTACACAAAAATGAGGAGGCTAGTTAAATAGAAAGTAAAATGTACAGTTCCAAAAATGAAATCCCTGCGAGTTGCATGGAAACTTTTTAAAGACACCATAATAGAGGCTCAACTTAAATGTATACCCCAAATAAAACACACACACACACACGCGCACACACACACACACACACACGCACGCAGCCGGGCTCACACACGCACACACACACACAGAGCCGGGCACACACACACACCCACGCACACACACACACACACAACCAAAAAAGAGCCACCGTGGCTTAACAACCAAGTAAAAGAAGCAGTGAGGGATAAAAAGGCATTGTTAAAAAAATGGAAATTAAATCCTAGTGAGGAGCATAGAAAGGAGCATAAACTCTAGCAAATGAAAAGCAGAAATACAATTAAAAAGACCACAAACACTTGAAGAATGGCTCCCCTAAAAATCAAAAAGTAATAGCCATTATTTTTAAAAACCATGAGAAGCGGGAAGCCTGTTAAACAGCTAGCGGGGCCACTGGACAATCGAGATGCTAAAGGAGCACTCATGCCAATAAGGACATTGCAGAGAAACTAAATTAATTCTTTGCATCAGTCTTCACAGCTGCTGAGGAGAGGGAGATTCCCAAACCTGAGCCATTCTTTTTAGGTGACAAATCTGAGGAACTGTCCCAGATTGAGGTGTCATTAGAGGAGGTTTTGGAGTAAACTGATAAACTAAATAGTAACAAATCACCAGGACCAGATGGCATTCACTCAAGAGTTCCGAAAGAACTCAAATGGGAAATTTTGTAACCTATCTTTTAAATCAGCTTCTGTAACAAATGACTGGAGGACAGCTAATGTGATGACAATTTTTAAAAAGGGTTCTAGAGGTGATCCTGGCAATTACAGGCTGGTAAATTTAACTTACCAGACAAATTAGTTGAAACTATAGTAAAGAATAAAATTATCAGACACACAAATTAACATAATTTGTTGGGGGAAGTCAACATGATTTCTGTAAAGGGGTATTCTGTAAAGGCCTTACTAATCTGCTAGATAAACTTCAACAACAAACAACAGCAGCAGCAGCAGCAGTCTGGTAGTACTTTAAAGACTAACATAACATGTAGAAGGTATCATGAACTTTTGTGGGTACACTTCTTCAGATGACCAGTACAGACTAATTCGGCTACCCCCTGAAGCTTTTAATCTACTAGAGTTCTTTGAGGGGGGGTCAACAAACATGTGGACAAGGGGGATCCAGTGGATGTAGTGTACTTAGATTTCTAGAAAGCCTTTGACAAGGTCATCACCAAAGGCTCTTAAGTAAAGTAAGTAAAGGATAAGAGGGAAGGTCCTTTCATGGACTGATAACTGGTTGAAAGACAGGAAACAAAGGGCAGGAATAAATGGTAAATTTTCAGAATAGAGAGAAGTAACTAGTGGTATCTCGCAGGGGTTGGAACTGGAACCACTTCTATTCAACACAAAGCTTCTTAAACTGTGGAAAAGACACCAAAAGAAATGATGGAAGCCCCATTGTGTTAGTCATTTAAAATTAGACTGGGTACTTTGGAGTAGCTCAATGGAAAGGATGTTCACAGAGTATGTACAAGCACGATCGAAACAGGATCAAGTCTGGCTGCCTTATAATACATTTCATAAAATCGTAGAATGCTAGAACTGGAAGGGACCTCAAGAGGTCACCGAGTCCAGTCCCCTGCCCTCATAGCAGGACGCAGTACTGTCTAGATCACCCCTGACAGGTGTCTGTCCAACCTGCTCTAAAATATCTCCAGTGATAGAGATTCCACAACTGCCCCAGGCATTTATTCCAATGTGTAACCACCCTGACAGTTAGAAAGGTTTTCCTAATGTCCAACCTAAACCTCCCTTGGTGCAGTTTAAGCCCATTGCTTCTTGTCCTGTCCTCAGAGGCTAAGGAGAACAATTTGTCTTCCTTCTCTTTGTGACACTTTTTTAGATACCTGAAAACCGCTATCGTGACCTCTCAGTCTTCTCCTGGAGACTCACGCTACAAGTTCAGCTGTGTAAACTCTAGTTTAACTTTTTTTTATTGGTGATCTAGGTTAAGCCAGACAAAACATTAGATGATGTAGGAGGTAGGGATGTTAAGGACTAGTCGACTGTCCGATTAGTCAACTATCCGATAAGCATTTGCTTATCGATTTCCTTCCCCCTGCTACTTCTATCAGATAGAGGCAGCAAAGGGAGGAGAAGAGGGGGTACTTCAAAGCAGCAGCGCTGCACAGCTGAGCCCAGGATCAGCTGTGCAGTGCTGCCTAGCATGGAGCCCAGGGTCAGCTGGGGACTCTCCAGCTGATCCCAGGCTCCAGCGTGGCATTTCCGTGAAACCCGGGATCAGCTGGGGAGTCCCCAGCTGACCCTGGGTTCTGGGGAAATGCTGCACGGAACCCGTTCCCCAGCTGACCCTGGCTCTGAGTCCCCTGCTGACCCCGGGCTTCATGCTGTGCTGCTGCTTTGAAATGCACGAGAGCCCCTGCTAGAGACTCTTGTACATTTCAAAGCTGGCATGCTGCATGCAGTTCGGAGTGAGCGGGACTTCCCACCGGCCCCGGGGCTGCATGGGAAGTTACGCATTCCTCCCAGTGTGGGCTCCTGTACATTTCAAAGGAGGAATGCGGAAGTGCCCATCGACTAGTTGAATAGTTGATGGAGTTCCATCCACTACTCAACTAGTCAATTAACCGTTACCTAATATCCTTAGTAGGAAGCTTCATGACCCAATGTTTCTCACTAATTGTTCTGATTCTTCACTCCTGCTAGTATTAATAGAAACTAGACATGGCCTATTTGAAAGCTGTTGCTTAACGGTGGTGATGAAATGGGAAGAAGCAAGGAAGTGCGGTGCAGTAAAACACTGTAGCTGCCTCCCAAAAGAACAGCAACATTTCACAAGCAGCACTGCAGATAACGACCAAGAACTGGGATGGGCTTTACCTGTCAATGCACTGCGCAGCCAGACAAGCCGCAGTTAGTATCTCTTTGATGTGAGTCAGCCAGTTGGAAGCTTCCAGTTTACTTAGCCAGCGGTCCATGTTGTGCGACTGATCGTTGCAAGCTTCCACGAGTTTGATGAGACTTTCTTGCAGAATGTTATACCTTTGGGGAAAGCAAAGGTTACGGAGCTCATAATAGTACTGAGGCTGTTAGACCATGCTCACACACCCACAAGATCGCCAATCAAAACACAGATCTAATGCTTCAAGGAATGTTATGGCACAAAGCACAACTTTAATAAAGGGATCATCTCTTATTCAACACATCTGTTCTTATTGTGACGGAGTCACATTTTAGCATCATGGGAAAATAAACAGTGCTTAAACCGCTGCAATGCTGCGCCTTAAGAGGCATGTTCCATGCTGACATTTCCTGATTAAATAAACTTACTTTACCTGCATCCTATGTACTTTCTGTTACATGCACTGACCCTGCTAAGTACATTTTTACTCCGTTTCATTCCATGACTGAATCAATATCGGTAAGAAAAAGCTGGATTGCCATCTGGCACAAACTGCAACACACTGGCTCGCCAAGTTCCAGTTGCAAAATCTTTACTATGGATGCTACAGAAGACTGAGTGGCACAACCAAAAACAAGTCTTCATTTGTAAATTGAACAGATGGGATCTGGAGACCTTCGTGACAAATAAAGACCCCATGCTGCCCTTGTAACAGTCACTTTCAGACTACAACCACCTTTTAAGGAAAACAAAGGATAAAGCTGCTAGGATAAAGCTACTGCAGCCTCTCCCTGCACCAGCTAACACCTGTATCCCGGAGCTCCTTGTAAGCTGAGTGCTTGGATAGCCACCCAAGAGAGATTCAGGTGCTGCCCAGCTGATTAGCAGAGCATCCACAGCTGGCAGTGTGTGTGTTTCTATTGAGGGTGCACATCTGCATTTGCCTTGGTGCACATAAAATTTATTCCACTCATGGATGGAAAAAAATTTAGAGGGAACATTGCTCTATAATCCTGGCACCAGTGCAAATTGGGGAAGGGAGAGCAGCTCTGATATGCCTGCTCTCCATTGGTGTAGGATACATTAAGTGTAGGATCCATTGGTGTAGGATACCCTATGCCAGCTGTGTGACTCTCAGCATCTGAGAGGTCTTGTGTCTCACTGAGTCTGAGAATGGGGGAACCACAGCCAGCTCTCTGCTACACGAAGCAGAGCTCCAGCACAGCTGAGAATCTTGCTCCTGGTGTTTCTCATCAGGGGAAGCGGACACTTGACACAGGTAGGGGAGCCTGGACTACCCTGCCGTGATGATAAATGGGGATGTCTGCCTTTAACACTGTGGATCACTAAAAAGCAAAACCCAGGCCTCTCTCAAGTCCGATGCACACAGCATGCAGGCATGGTTTGGAGGGAGAAGCTGAGAGAGGCAGGAATGTTTTGAACAACTATGCAGATTAAACATGGTACGGGAGACCACGTCAAGAACACATGACAAGGTACTGGTACTTCTGTTTCTGATAAGCAAAAATCACTGATACAGCCATACAACTGTCAACTACGCACAGAGCAGCAACATCCTGAGTGACAGGATGGACTCCAAATCGTACATTTTACTATCCTGCATGTTGGGTAAACATTTCTGAGGCAGGTTATGATACTCTGTGAAGAACCCCATATCTAAATGTCAAGTCTAGAACTGGCACACAAATACAGTACATGATGGTTTATCCCCCCTTCTCTCCCCTCCCTGCTTAGGCCATCGGAGGAAGGTCACCCTGGAGCTAAGGACCTAGGATGAGAGACAGGACATGACACATTCAATGGTGATCGGCAGGGCTCGATGATCGCGGCGAAAACTACTCGCCAGCCCCGCACTGCGCATGCGCAAACCGCCGGTGAACAGGGCGACCGGCTGAAATCGACTCGCTACGGGCGAGTAGCTAGGCGGATTTGTCGAGCCCTGGTGATGACAATTGCACATTTGTTCCTAAGTACTCCTAATGTCTTCGTTTTAATCCCCAGATGCATCACCAATGGATCACATCTGTGCAGAGATACCTTCCTGAAGCTGACAGACACATTGCCACTTAACACATAATTGACAATTGATGTCGGTTTTATTTAAATAGTTGTATAACTAAATAGAAGGTATTCTGTAATCTATGGGTGGAAAACTCTACGTAACCTTTAGATTATTGCTCTCCTTTTGCCTCACAATTAGCACCAATCCAGGAGGGCTGGATCCCCCCCCATCACTTCATCCGCCCATTAAGCATCAGAGGGTACATCTAGACTACAGGGTTTTGTCGACAGAAGTTTTGTCGACAGATACTGTCGACAAAGCTTCTGTCGACAAAGAGCGTGTAGACTGCATCCAGTTCTGTTGACAAAGCAAGCCGCTTTGTCGACATAACAGTGTGGACGCAAAGGACAGTGTAGATGCAATAACGCCTTCTATCAACAGAACTCTGTCAACAAAAGGCATTATTCCTCGTAGAATGAGGTTTACATACATCGACAAAACTGCTGAGTTTTGTCGACATTATGTTGACATAACTCAAAGGCAGTGTGGACGCAGGTATAGTTTTGTCGATAAAAGTCCACTTTTGTTGACAAAACCCTGTAGTCTAGACACACCCCTATATAATTAGTTGTAACCTATTGTCTGGCAGTGTTCACCAAACCTAACAAACGAAGTGACACTCCACCAGTGCTGTGTGTTAATAAACCCTTCTGCTTGCTTCATACATGGTGTCCGGAGTCTGTTCCAACACTACACAAATAGGGCATTTTACGTATCCTACACAAAGCAATCAATTGGGAAATATTATTAGAACGACCAAGTCTCGCTGCGCTCTAAAATGGGCTTAGTGAGAACAATCGATGGGAGGGAATGGGCAGGATTGACCCACAAGTCCTGTTCGATGTTACTAGAAGTAGGCAGACCCTTCACACTGGTGGTCCAGTGTGTGGTGTTCCATTGCATGGGAAGAAAAGGAACCACGACTTCTTGCTAGTAGTGTAGGCAGCATAGAGCTTCTATTAATTGCTTTTGCATTGCTTTGTGCTGTATTAATTGCTTTAGAATGTTATAGTATTTAAGGTTTAAATTGTATAGTAATTGTTTTTAAGGCTTGTAAAACTTAACCGTATTAACTGCTTAAAGCTTGCACTAGATAAGAAAGTGGTGCAGTCGCCCTGGAATGTCCTGGTTTTCCTTGGACCTAAAAAGAAATCGAACCACACGACACCAGCACAGCCAATCCGCAAGTTCGAGAAAGCCCAGTCCCTCGAGACGGTCGGAAAGTGGCAACATGACCCCCGATGGCCACCCCGCCCTTCACCTACCTCTCGATAGACTTGTGAATCCGCCTCCACTGAGGATACTGAACTTCCTGTTCAAAGCCGCCACCCTTGGCTCTGGCCTGCTGAGCAACGTTCAGGGAGCGGGTATCAATGATGTAGCCCCGCTTGCCGGCCCTCAGGGTGGCATTAATAAGTGCTGAGTCTTCCTTACACCGTCTCCCATTGGTACCTGTGAGGGGCTGGCTACTCCGCATCATTGCCTAGGGAACAAAAAGAATCAGAAACCGGGAGACTCATTGTCTAGTCCAGGCCCCTGCCAGTGGCCCATTATAAGGAGCAACCCGTTTGCTAGTGCTTCTGCCAGGTTAGTCCTGCACGCTGCTCCTGCTCTCCTTTGACAGCCACATGCCTGCAGCAACGATAACGGCCCACCTCAGCCTTCAAACGCCTCTTCCATCCAAGTCAAAACCGCTCGGGGAGTTCCTCCATGGACTTGCCCCAGGCTGGCTCAGGCTTCTCTGCTCTGTCCTTCCCACTCCCTCATCCTCTCAGCTTTCACCTGGACCATCTGGCTGCTGAAATGGCCAAAGAGCTCAACGCGGCAGAGACGGCCATCTGAAAACACCTGCCCATCACTCTACCTTTCCTCCCATTCCAGCTGCAATGCTGGTTTCCTCTTTGCACCCTTCACTTCCTTCCCATCTCTTTAGCGGCCCTCACATCGACCACTAGAGTAAAACGATTTCTAACTTTTAAAAAATGATTATTCTGCAGGCTCCTTGGCGGGAGCAAGATCCTTGCACAGCTTCCTCAGCGGTCATTTCATGAGTCCCCCCCCCGCCCTTTCACAGCCTCTACTGCCAGAATCCTGCAGAAGCATCTTAACTGGGCAGACAGCTGAAGGCGGGTTTTATTTTTAGCCTCTACCCAAGAGTGGTTCTGAAAAATTTTAGTCTGCGATGGGATACAAACATGTTCCTTGGGCAGATTTACTCGGTGGCTCTGGAACGACCAATAAACCACAGCTCCACAATAGTTTAAGATACGAAAAATTTCACAGATGCTAAAGCTATTGTGCAACACTAGTGCAAGTGGCCACTGAAAGCATGAAGGTGATGAGCCAAGCATGCCCATAGAGCAGGGAATAACAGTTCTCACAAAGTACAACAGAAGGGGACACACGCACACGCACACAGAGAGTTAATGACCGAATTCCAAGACTGAGCAAAAACGGAAATACTTATACAGGATCAGCCCAGAGCTTGTTCAACCCAACACCGTGCATGAAGTACTCAATTAAAGGAATCATCGAATAATCTGTCTACTGGGTGAATTTCTTTGTAATCTTTCCAGCAACCATGCAGCACACTTCAAACATCCTCACCCAGGAACCCACGCCTGCAATGAACCCTGGTGCCAACTCTGTCCACATATCTATACAAGTGACATCACCACAGGACCTGCCCACATAAGCCACCAAATCAGGGGCTCACAACGGCACATCCACCAATGTGATCTACGCCATCAAGTGCCAGCAATGCCCCTCTGCCATACACACTGACCAAACTGGGCAGTCTCTGCGACAAAGGATGAATGGACACAGATCAGATATTCAAAATGGTCACACACAGAAACCTGCTGGGGAACACATTAACTTGTCTGGGCACTCACTACTGGATCTAAAGGGGGCTATTCTCTTGCCAAACAATGTCAGGAATCAACTAGAAAGAATCTGTGGAAATGGCCTTCGTATGCAAATCTGATACTCTCTGGCATGGCCTGAACAGAGACATGAACTGGTTGGGCCATTATATTCAACACCCAAATGATATCAAAAGCTAAGTATCAGGCACTTAAGGTATGTCTAGATTACATGCCTCTGCCGGCAGAGGCATGTAGTCTAGACATACCCTTAGAACCTACTCTATTAGCCTCATTTAGCACAGACACTTTAATTGACAGGTTTTTCCCTCTCTCCCCTCCCCCTCTCCCCTCTTTTTCTGCTTTATAATTCAACCTCTGTGCCTATTGCTCCATATTTGTCAGCTGAAGAAGTGGGTTGTGCCCAGGAAAACTCATGACACTATTTATATATTTTGGTTAGTCTCTAAGATGCTACAGGACCACTGTTGTTTTTTAAGTTATTTTATTTACAGACTAACACGGCTACCCCGAGACCTTGTCATCACAAGCTGCTAGTGGCAGGCTCAGAGCGGGGTCAGTGTTTCAGATTCTGACAACTCAAAAAGTGAAGAGGGTTGAGGAGACAGCAAAAGAATTTGCTGCTTGTTAAAGGCCTGGAGAGCAGAGTCCTCTGCTCATTCGCAGACTAGGTGCGGTGTAGGCAGAAGTGATGCCAGCTTCACTCACCCACTGCTGTCACGTCCCTCAGTCATGACCCAGATGGACCGCATCTCAGGGTGACAGGGTAATGAGTCACTGAGGGGCATGTGGTCCACAGCCAATCGAGAGAGGCAGCCCAACCGGTGCCAGCCATACAGGTGGGCGAGCAGGAGGACACCTCTGTGCCGGGAGCTAACTCATTTCCTATCCATGACTGAGCATGTGCCAACGAATCTGTCAGTTGCTACCACTTGAGGTTGGTAGCCCCATATTCCAACACCGACAGCTGCTTACGGTCCCGTTTTAATATAAATGACTAGGGAAAAAAGGGTCCTAGAACAAACTGGGGGAGTTGCACTGAAAGTCTTCAGGAGAACGTCATTTTTCAACAAACAGGGCAAAAGAGTTCGGAAGAGACCCTTAGATTCTTGTCCAGCCCTGAAAACCAGGTGCCCAAAGCAACCAGACAAGACATACCATCCCGTTCTTCTTATGGTAATAGCTGAGGACGGGGAAGCGGCCCCCGTGGCGAAACGTCGCGACTCTCCGAAGAGCCTCGTCGTCAATCGATTTGGGGACAGTGACAGCGGGCGGGTAGGAGGGGCAGACCGAGAAATCCTTGTTGACGTAGCTCAGGCGCCATTCGTTCGTCTGGAAAAGATGCAAGTGAACGTTGCGTCATAACGGAAAACAAATGCGGCTGTTTCAGAAGGGAACACTGGAAAGTCAGGACATTCTACATTAAAGTTAAATCTACAAAAAAAAAGTTGTAAAATACCACCTGAGAATACATACACGGTCTTAGATTTTGGTTTGTCCCCTGTGCCTCATGGGAGTGTCAACGTGTAGTTGAGTACGTGATAAATCTTGTCGGCTACACACATTCTCCCCCCGGCCCTTGCTCCCTTGCAGACCTACTCCCGCCTGTCACCCCACACTGCTGCCTCTGATACAGAGGCAGCAGCATGAGGTGGCCGGGGGGCTCGGAGCGCATTGGTGGCTAGCCCCGCCCCCGCACCAGGGACGATCAAATCGTCGTTTAACCACTAGAAGTTCATGGGGTTATATGACTATTCAATTACACACCAACATCCCTAGTGCCTCACCCAAAATCAGGAGACAATTTCCTCCCTCCCCCCAACTATGCATCTGCACTAACGAGCACATCCTTTAACCAGGCAAGCCGGTGCTGCCAAAAATCGAGGTCTGCTTTTTTGTGTGTTATTAGCCTCTCTGTAGCGAGCACAGTAGCAGAGTTCCTGGCAGATGCAGCCATCTTTAATCCCATACAAAGGGGATCAAACGTGAACTCACCAGGACATAAGGAAGTAAGGGACTAGTCAACTACCTGATAAGCAAATGCTTATCGGGTAGTTGAGTGGGAACTCAACTAGTCCCTCTCCACCCCTTGCTGTCTCTATCAGAGAGAGGCAGCAAGGGGTGGGAAACACGATCCAGTTCCCTCCCTCCTTCCCCCCAGCACCATCTCCGGAGGAGCAGCGGAGGTAGAGGGCAGCAGGGAAACAGCGCGGGTGGCTCCTGCACAATTGAAAGGGAGAAGCAGAGGGATAGCAAGCACCCCCCTTATGGGCTAGTCGACAGAATGTTGATTAATCGAAATTTAACATCCCTACTGGGACAAGTGACTCATTACAAGTCCGCAAAGCGCCTAATGCCAAGGGGCCTTGATCTAGGCCTCCGGTTAATACTAACACAAAGAGCATCAACAATTCCCCCACCACGACCACCCGCAACAACAACAGGGGGAGGTTTTAGCAAGTTTCCCAGTGAAAACCAAGCCAAGGCATCTATGGTCCAGCTGCTTTAGAAGACTGGACTGGTTTGGAGGTTAAAGATAGGTAGCCGAACATTCCTAGCCCTAATTTCTCCCTCAGAAATTTGCGATGGCCCCAAACTCACGCAAGCCAGTATGCCGACTCCTCACACAGACTTCCAGTGCCCACGGCTGTGCCCGTGCACAGCGGGGCTCCCAATGTCTCTCTCCCCTCTGTCCAGGGAAAGATAGAAGTGCGTGGTAGACCTTGCTCAGCACTGAGAAGACACCGAGTCTGCCCTGGAGCGAGGCGTGTTTCTGCTCAGCAAAGAAGAAACTGCTGGATATCTAGGGTCAGACTCCACCACGGAACACACGGAAAGGCCACTACGTATATCTCCCTGACTCGAGGGCTGATTTACTGACCTCTCTGCTAGAACCACTTACTGCTTAGGAGCAAGGACTCAGACGGCCGCTTCGTACAAGCCCAGCCTGTTGGCGATGATCATCATCACTTTAAAAGCCACGTTTGGAGCAAGAGCGGATCTAGTTCTTGGTGGACCAGAGACATACTGGAGGCCTGGGACAAGGACCCGCAACTACAGATCTTTCAGATGGGCAAGGCCACCCCCTGGCAGCCTGCCCTGATGGTGGAATGCCAGGCCACCCTGACCGGACATGCTCTGGAAAAGAGGCTGGAGGTTGCTCTACTGAAGCTGGTAACAACCCGATAAATGCTCCTTTGGAGTTAGGAAACCCATACTAGGGCAGCTACAAATGTCGTGGCACTATGGCCAGGGAGGCCGGATGAAAGTGCAAGATGCCTCTAAAAGCAGAAAGGGGGTTTTCACCATGGGGACACTGTACATGGCATGTATTGTCTCCACCTATCCCAGCAGAGCTTTTCCACTCCAAAAGGCAACTACTGCACATTCACACGAGCACTTGTGGATCACTAGAGCCCACCACATGGATGTTTACGTAAACTGGCCTGGCATTTGCTTTGGCTACAACAAACATCCAGGTTATAGTCACAAGAGACGGAAGGGCAGAAGATTCACCTGTGGAAGGGTCCTGACAAGAGGAGGAATAGCACCGCTGTTGTCTGAGGGTACGTCTTCACTGCACAGCTATTTCGGGATACCAGAATATTCGGAGGTATCCCGAAATAGCTACCCTGCATCTACACAAGCTGCCTGTTATTGCAAAATATTTTTCAAAATAACAGACGCGTTATTTCGCCATCCCAGTAAACCTCGTTGCACGAGACATAAGAGCTGGCTCGAAATAGCGCATTATTTCGAAATCTGGCATTGCGAAGACGCACCCAACTTCAAAATAAGATGCGTAATTTGCATAGCGCAAATTGAGTCTCTTCTTTTGAGTTTAGGGTGCTGTGTAGACGCACCCTTAGTCTGCTCGGCTATTGCTACCTCTCTGTTGCATTTTGTGCCTCTGCCCAATAGTTAGCATGGACCTTTATTACATTTATATCGTTCTCTGTAAGGATCTACTGTTGCATCTGGAATCCAGGAAGTTTATGCTGGCATGGGAGTGTTCTGAGAGTCTGATACCTGGGTGGTGGTTGAAGTTGTGTAAATCTATGAGGGAGCTTCGGCTGCCAATCCAGAGGATGAAAACACCATCAATTTTTGTCTTAGTTAAATTGTCAGTGCATTTGCCCAGAAATTCTTCCTCAAGGCAGCCCACAAAGAGGCTGGCTTACTGTGAAGCTTTCTTCTTACCCAGGGTTGGACAAAGCATGTGTTGTTACCAGCGAGGATGAAATAGATGAGTTTGGGGTGAATATGGCCTTTGAGACACGAGGCACACAGCAATGCCATTATTGTGAGGAACTGCAAAGCTGGCGTGTCGGCAATGGAGAAATTATACTGGATGTAATGTTTTGTAAGGATTTCACACTCAATTTTTTCCCCTGAAGCAATCAACCTAACGATCAAAAGTGTGGTTTCATTCACTGTGGTATGCCCAGTTAGATTCTTTTCATAGCTCCATCGTGATGTAGTTTTCTGTCTAGGAATTCTATGATTCATGAAACTCTTAAAGTGCAATGCCTCATATTGGGCTAGTTACAAAGTACTCAAATGAAGGGTAGAATTTCCTGTTAGCAAATACAGGCAGTCCCCGGGTTACGTACAAGATAGGGACTGTAGGTTTGTTCTTAAGTTGAATCTGTATGTAAGTCGGAACTGGCGTCAGCCGCTGCTGAAACTGATCAGTTTCAACCGCGGCTGAATCTGGACGCCAGTTCTGACTTACATACAGATTCAACTTAAGAAACCCAGGCGTCCCCAAGTCAGCTGCTGCTGAAACTGATCAGCGGCTGATTCCAGGACGCCTGGGGCAGAGCAGCTGGGGTGCTGCTGGGTTTGTCCGGAGCAGCGCTGCGGGACCAACCCGGCAGCCCCCAGCTGCTCTACCCCAGGGGTAGGCAAGAAAAGCCTGGTCTGCTGGGGGGGGGGGGGCATAAC